AGGTTTCGAAGCATAGCTATGCTACTGAAAGTCAGTCACTCAATGGATTGAGTAACCACCATGTAATAAAGGTAATGCCACAAACTTTAAAAGAACACATGTTTTATAGCATAATGCATAGATGATGAATAGTAATATTTTCCTGAATTTCCACAAACTCAAACACACATTACAGCTGCAGATAATGAACGGAAAAATGAAAATAAACGTAACTTCATTTTATAGCCTGATTGCCTAAATGAAATCTGTTATGATATGAAACTCTAAGTTGTGTGCTTGCCTTCTTCTGTCCTAACTGCAGAATTCGTGAAAGAGAAGAGGGATACAACATATACTTTCTGAACTGCTACCAGTAGTTTGGGTGATTTTCATCGGTCTGCCCACAAGGAAAATTTTAATAAATTCTAACTGCCGCTTGAAGGTATTATAGCATGTAGTTATCTCATCGATGATTCGACCAAAATGACCTTCCCTTGTTGACATGTGCATTCATGTTCTCATACCTTGAGGCTGCCAGTAATTTAATCTCGATAGTAATGATGCATTACGACTATCAGTGAAATCCAGGACACGTGCTTCCTTATGTTTGGGACCAGTCAACTGAATGTACCAGCCTCCTAGTCGGTAATGTTGTCCCTAAAATTAACCTGAAATCCACCGCTCCAAGCACTTTGAATTATACTTGTCGCACAAGGAACGGTTATCGTAACTCAGTAGCCCAGTGGATAACGCATTGACGTTTGGAGCGACGGGTGCTAACTCTGAGTCTCAGTGGAAACGATATCATTAACTGGGATGCAGACACATCCAAATACCGAGCCCAATTAACGTGAAACACGCCTCTTGGAATTTTACTGTTAGTAATCATCTACTAATAACATTTCCTTAAAGAATGTAACAAAGGTGTCTAAATGTAACTTTGACAGTCGTCTTGTATACTTAAGTAGTGAAATGCCAAAATGATTTGATTCACTTTGTACCATTTTTCTATGATTACCGAGTCATTCATCAAACGCATCTATATACTGTTCCTAAAAGTGGTTGTTTGCTTGATTGGTGTTTGATTCACCACAACATAGTTTCTGCAAACAATTTATAACAACTAATAGTATTGCTTGTATTACATCGTCGTTGATTGGACTGAAATGAACGCCCTCAATGGACATATGCACTCCTGCACGCATGCCTCGATGTTGCCTGTGTTTTGATGCTATACAGTAGTAGTGGGTAGTGCCGGGTACATCCAGCTGATGAGTCCCGAATAGGACGAGAGGAGCATCCTAGGTTCCACTGCTATCCACTATCCATCACTACTAAATTGATAACAAATGCAGAACCTCTAAAAATCAAGGGGAATTGAATGACCTTTTAGCCTTAATTTAGAACTCATTAACAAAACACACTGTCAGTTGTATGTAAATTTTCTCCAAGAGTCCCCATATTTTGCACTGGATACGCTATCACTGACTTTAGTAGTTCATATTTTCCAACTTCAGTCATCTAGCAACATACTGAATAAATCTTCTTTTATTTCTGTTTTGAATAGTATTAGCTATGCCTGACAGTGAATGATTAGTTTTTGAATGGAACTCAAGATTACATATATTCGTCGATCTATGTTAATGTATACCTCCAGGTTGCAACTTGTTTCAGTGGAAGAACTAACTGATTTTAAACTCATCAAATGAAATTATATGATCTCATTCAACTAATAGCCATAAACTATAGATTTTGAAAAGAAATACTGAACGATTATCAAAACAGATTAACTGTCAAATAATGATTACTCATATATATTTATCAATTCCAGTCATATGATTACAGTATCCCAAATCCATGAGAACTGACCTAATGGCTGCAAGATGCAACAACTAGGTGACTAAATCATTATTCACCCAAATTAAAAATATTCTTTTATATACGAAGAGAACTATGGTAATTTAAGCTACATGAGGATACTAACCCAAGATTGCCAGTCTACCCATCTAGCGCTGTAATATCTGGGCTGTTTAGTTATAATAAAAAAACTACAATGTGAAAATGATTTAGAACTACTTATGAGATAGGTAAATTATGCAGTCCACGGTACGAATTCTCTTCGTCAGTTATTTAACGCGTCTTCACTGTTTATTGAATGGTTGGATTACTGATCTTCAAACCAAAATTATTTCTGAATGCTTACTGCTATAACTGACTCGGTTGTGGCTAGCAGCGAAACCCAAGAAGCGTGTTTCCTTCCATTTAGGACTTGTCACCTGGATGTACCTGCACCTCAGTCAGTGGTGTTGTTCCCACTGAGACCCAAATATCGTACCCATTACTTCAAATCCCAAAGCGTTATCCACTAGGGCACTGAGACACTATAGCTCCCTCTTCTACAACGGTTATTAGTTATTATTATTTGTAAATACTTGTAAATCTCCTTTATGCTATTGAATGGAATTGATCGACCCATGATGGTATATAGGCTCCTAAGCGGATGTCCTGACACTCTCTAAATGTTTATTGTCATGATTGACTTGGTTGTGGCTAACAGTAGAACCCAGGATGCGTATTTCCTTCTTTTCAGCGTGATGTACCTACACACACTGTACATGTGGCCATCGCTTCCTAGTGGTCTAGTGATTGACCCTTTGGCATTTGAAGCGATGGGTGAGTACCTGATTCGAGTCCCAGTGAGAACAACACTCAGTAGGGTACAGCGTACGGATTTGTAGAGTTTTTATATTTTGTAGTACGTGTATAGTGTCATATGTAATTCATCCATGTCTTTCCAGATGACCAACACAGAGAACTTTGAGTCAAGAGGATGCTGATCGTCTGATAAAATAACTCCTACCACATGTTTACACGAGTTAGTATGTTTGTCCATAACTGTTTTAACCAGAAGATTCAGAGGTACACCACTAGTTCTGCTGACAACTTTCAAAGTTCTACGCAATATAGTGTAGTCTTTCTTCAGCAACCAGGGCAAAAATAAAGCAGAACAATAGAGGCGAACAGGCAAGATGAGGCTGTTTATGCGAGATACTTTCAACTTCCTAATATAGAAAGTTGGGCGGAAAATTCTCCTCAAAACTATTAAGATATGGGAAGACCAGGAAAGGTGCGAAGAAAAACGCACGCTCAGCTAAATCACACTTTTAACATTTTCTGATGTACAATGACCACTGGAACAGGCATCATAAGAACTAAGCAGTTTACATAGATTATGTTCACGGAGGACTATCGTCTAACATTATACAGAAAATCATTCAGTTTGGAACAATCTGCTGAAGAAGAGGCAAATGTGGAAACCGTTTGGTCATCAGCGCATTTGTTGATTCTTACAAATTGTCAAATTTCGTTGCCTAAGCAATTCTCTCTCATATTAAGGATGGATAGCAGCTAGAAGTGGGACCCAGAATACATTTTCTGCCCTATTTGGAATGCAGGAACATCCAATTAACAAATCCCAAATAGGATGAAACAGAATTCTTGTATTCCACGCCTATCCAGTGTCCATCCTCCCTAACATCCAAATGAAACCACCGACTGTGTTCAGACAACCATACAACAGCCCATATACCAACAGTTAGGTTTATATCAATTAACAACGGAAAATAACAAGTTATAGAAGGAATTTTCCTAAATCCTTAGTCCTAATGTTCACTGTCCAATACTAATAGTAGAATCACTTCAAATGAAGATGTATATGAGTTTATGAGGTGATCATATTTGACAGTTTAAGGAAACTGAAAATCGTTTACTTCAGAAGGTATCTAGTATCTATTCATTCCTTCATTCCCACTTAGAATTTTCTTACTTGGCCAGTTTACCTATTTGAAGGGAAAAATAATGCAAAGCATGAATCTAATATATTTATGTACTAATCTGTAAACTACACCGAATATATGACGGTGATTTATATTAATTGATTTTTAAGGCTAAGAGTTGTGTGAGTTGATTTCCAACATAAGACCGAATGGTTGTTAGTAAGTTCCCTAGATCACTGACTTATGCCTTCACTTAACTGATAGTCTCCATATCTTCTACCTTTCATGCAATCAAATTGTTTTATTTGAGTATTTCCAGCTTTTAATCCATGAACATTTTTTAACTCTTCATGTGTGTGTACAATATTTCTCCATTTAAATTCTTATTGAATGATTCAGTGGTGGAAATAGATAATTCATAAAAAGCAAGAGTAAAGCATTACGAATTCACACGATAGTTAGGCAAAAGTCTTGGCGATTGAATTGGAAGTGAGATCTGATCAGTAACCTATTCTCGTAGATCATTTGACATATTACCAGCCGGTAACCCCTAGGTGGTTGTTTCGAATTTTCATTTCACCTTCAAACATCACTCAGTAACAAGTGAACTGTTTAACTCAAGGGTAACATTGAACAACCAATAAAAGCGATCCCCAGTTAACTATCAAGTTTTGATCACTCTTTCTTTTCCAAAATAGATAGCTCACATATATCTTCTTCATTCATAGATACTTAAGCAATCTAGAAGAGGAAATCAATTCAGTTCAAGAATCAGAAAATGATATAGTTTATGTTCATTCAACTGATTCTGTGTACTGAATTTGTTATCCATTCATCACCATTACACATATGATAGAATAGAACATATTAGAACGTAGAGATGATAATTACTCTTCATAAATTTCATTCAAACTATTAGTTTGTGTGACCGAAATATTAGTGAAGTGCTCTAGGCTGTTCATTCATATTTCGTGTTATTTTTTTTAAAATATCCTCTGTATATTGATGAAATTAACTAGAGATAATAAACAATTCTAAAATATTTGATAACGTTTTAATTACCCGTTCATTTTTAAAAGGCGTAATTTATATTGATTTGATAATATTATATATTGTTGGTATATGGTTCAAGAACATTATGCTTTATTAGATGAAACGATTTCAAAAAAATTTCTTTCTTATTTTCTTAACACACTTCTAAGTATAACGAGTACTTAAAGATTCTGTGTATATTATGCTTTTCAGCTGTACCAAGTCAAATCTACGCTAAAGAAGGTGTGAAATTTTCAGAACCATGTCCTGAAGAAAATTACAGATACCATAATGGTTAGTCATAGTGATATTTTATCAAAGTAGATGTTTAATGTGCTTCATATACAAAATTATTACCTAATGTTTTCAACAACTTTCAGTCTATAGGTTTATGGATCGAGTCCTACCTCACTTACTAAAGACTGGGTATTAAAATTATTAGCATCATTGTTTCTTATGACATTGGTGGCTGATAATTCATAAAAAACACTTTTATATCGTAACTGACTTTTTAGTTATTTTATATTACTTGATGCTTTTCAAGGTATTTGAACTTCAGGATCTTATCGTCCCTAAAATAAGTATAAAGAAGGGCTATTCTTGTTTTAGGTTATGGAAGCCTATGAATATCAAGGTTTCTGAATAAGAAAAAATTATGTATGACATCAATAAGATCTTTTATGTTCAAGTGAAAACCAGAACTTTATTTAGCATTTAACGGCCAGGGAAATTAGAGTTTGAGAGTTTAGATAAAGAGTTTCTATTCAAGAGATCAAAGCTTGGAAGCCAAGTTTTGGTAACTAGGTTTAGTGTTAAAAGCATGAAATAAATCAAAGAAACGACTTGCTTATCAGTAATACTGCATTTTTTTTAATCTTCTATGTCCTAGGCGAGATATTTAGAGAATATGGCAGTTAAATTTATGATTGATGATTCAAAGTTGAAGCGCACTATGATTTATGATTATTCAAACACACACATACACACACAGATTGATCTCGTGGATTAAAAGTAGACGTAGTACTTTACAGCTTGTGAACAATGTTCACTTAATGTCAGTAAGCCAGAAGTGCAAAGGAAATTGTTACGGGTTGTGCAAATCTGTACATCACTAATTCTCTGAAACAAGTCACAAATATATGATATGTATTATTAACTCGAATAAGGAGTTGTAGAGCGCTGGTACCAACAATCAATCTTCTATAAATAGATTGAGGCGATCTAAACACCAATATGATTTGAGAAGCCTACTTATCTGACGTTAAATCCATGTATTTTTGTACTGTTGATGAAACTGTCAGCAAACAGTTGAAACTAACTGTTGCTACTTACTTATTTAAGTGGTCTATAACAACTCAATCCAGTCAGAAGTATACATCATCTAGATCTCATGGTCACAGTCTTTAAACTTCTACTAGTTTCAAGCAGCTTACAAACTCCAGACTGTATATTTTGGTTACCAAAAATAATAATCATAAGTGAATCTCAACTGATTGTACCATTTTCACCTTTGGCTTTGTCTTTTCAGGAAGCTTCATGTGAGAAGTGTAAGTGGTGGATTGATCGTATTGAGATTTTGATAGATGAATCAGCTATCGTTACAATAGAATATGTATCCACTCACTGAAACTGGAACCTTGCACTCACCGCTTCAACTGCCTAAACATTATTCACTGTATAACAACCGAGAATTAAAAGCAATGACAAATAATAATAACAACTAATACCCGTTGTACAAGAGTGAGCTATGATGCCTCATTAGCCTAGTATATAACGCCTAGGTATTTGAAACAATGTGTACGAGGTTCCAGTCTCCGTGGGAAGAACATCACTTGCTGGGGTACAGATACATCTGGCTGATGAGTCCCAAATAGGACGAAACACGTGTCCTAGATTTCCCTTCTAACCACAACTAAGTCGATTCAGACATACTTTATATTTATACAAGCCACAGGCTGTTAAAATGAAATAATTCAAAAATTTAACTTGGAAGTCTGTCCGGAGCTTCTTCAGAGTAATTATGAAAGATCTATGAATGAATTCAAAGATGTGTACTTAATCTGTTTGCCAATCCTCTTCGTGTAGTCAGTTTTTTTCTGAAATATGTTTCAGTGTGAAATTGTATTATTTGTTGTATGATGGGTGTGTATGTTGTTAATAATATTACGCGCTTCACTGTAAACACGAGACTAAAAAGGTCACAGGTGATATTGTAATCATTCAGTAGTTTTATAAGTACAATTAGTGGGTGTGCTTTATTTTATTCAGTATATGGCGATGAATAGTATCAACAAATTATATCCATGAGAAATTTGTGCATTGTGGAGAGAATAAGTTTATTATAAATGTGTTTGTATTGAATATATTTATAGTTAGTATCAACAAAATTTTTCATTGGTTTGTCAGAATAGAATGGAAATGAATTTGCAGTGATAATAATAATAATAATGATAAATTAAATTTAGATTGCGTGTTTTTGGTGTAGAAATAATGAAAATGTGACAGATGTTGCAGTCAAACGCTGAAGTTACTCCTTCTGCTTATTAATTAGCAATTACGAAAAGGCAGGTAACTGTACTTCATACATCTGTTCAAACTATCTAGATTTACCAATATATGATTCAGAATTATCATACATGCTAGGCAAACGTCAGTAGTTTGTATAAACTATGATGAAGATTTGATCGGATAGCATGGGAAATATTGGGCGCTGAGTAAAAGGTTGATATTAGATATAGATTGTATTTGTGTAAGTCACAGTGAGTTTGAAATCAAATAATTCCAACGTTTCTCAAGGAAGTTTGGCCTGTGGTTCTTCAGCTTCTCCCCTGAAGAAACTCTTTGAGAAAAGTTGGAATTATTTGATTTCAAACTAACTGCAACTTACACAAATACAATCTGTATCTAATGTCAAGCATCAGTAGATTATGATAACTGGTCACAAGCTATAGAACTAAATTAAATTTTTTTTCTTTAACTATCCCTCAGTAATTTCATAAAATGAAGTTGATTGCTTTATTGAAAACATTTTTTCCTAATACAAATTTTAAAACAAGTAACGAATGTGAAAATAGCAGGAGTTAATGAATTCATAAATTTAAGTAGTATTCGTCTACGCCATACTCTACATACTTGATTATGCCGGTAAACAATACAAAAGAATATACATACATACATAACGTAGACTGGGATATAGATTTGGGCGTAACAACATATAAATGAATAAGTTTTACAAGTCAAGTAGTAGTGCAAAGGGTAGAAATGGATGTTCAGAATTGAATGGTTTAGCGATAGGTTATATGATTAACTATGAGTTTGGATAATGGTGGATTTCAGGTAGGAAAATAGTGATAATAACTTTTTGTCGATGTACTTGTAATTCTCCGTTATTTTACTGGATTGAATTGTTAGCATATGGGCTCTTAAATGGATGCCTCGATATTGCCTGAATATTTATTATGGTAATTGAGGCGTTTTCTGGATTCTTTTGCTAGCTACAACCAGATAATATTGAAGCATCCGCATAGGAGCTCGTGTGCCAACAGAGGCTGAACAATTCTATCCAGTAAAATAACGGAGAATTATAAGTACATCAACATATCGCTACAATTCGTACCTGTTGTACATAAGTAGGCTATCGTGCCTCAGTGGCCTAGTGGACGACGCTATAGAATTTGGAGCTGTGGGTAAGGAGTTCCAGTCTTTGTGGGAACAACATCACTCACTGGGGCGCAGATATGTTCCAAGTGGGAAGAAACACGCATCATGGATTCTTCTGCTAGCCACAACCAAAAAAATTACCGTAATAATAGTTATCATTTGACTTTCTGAGATAGCCGTAGTTTGGCAGACTAGTATTTATACTAGGTGATGGCTGAAAGTGAAATGAAAACTTGGACCCCTGCATGATTCGAACCAGAGTGCCTCGTAGCTCAGTTGGCAGAGCATCGGGCCGGAGACCCGGTAGTCGCTGGTTCGAATCCGGCAGCGGTTAAAATTTTCATTTCACCTTCAATCATCACCTGTATAAATAATAATAATAATGTTAACACAAGGATGGGAACTGAATCGATTGAGCGTAGATCACGTCATCCAAAACAAGATACGTAATAATACAAGGTGTGCACGTGGTTTTCTTATATCTGTATATTATTATTATCACTATTTTCCTACCTGAAATCCACCATTATCCAAACTCATAGTTAATCATATAACCTATCGCTAAACCATTCAATTCTGAACATCCATTTCTACCCTTTGCACTACTACTTGACTTGTAAAACTTATTCATTTATATGTTGTTACGCCTCAATCTATATCCCAGTCTACGTTATATATGTATGTATATTCTTTTGTATTGTTTACCGGTATAATCAAGTATGTAGAGTATGGCGTAGACGAATACTACTTAAATTTATGAATTCATTAACTCCTGCTATTTTCACATTCGTTGCTTAAGTTAGTTTATTCTCAGAATCGTACAACTGAATGAAAATAAAATCAACTCAGTAACGCTGAATAAATTTGTTGACAAAAATGTGGTTGTATACTAACTGATAAAATTCTATACCAGTCCGGTGGTAATAATTATTTCATAATAGGTTATCATTCTCAATACTGATGATATTTTTTTATAAAATTATTTCTAACATTCCTTCTAATCTCACTCATCTTCTACAAGTTTGTCTTTCACGTATAACAGAAGTTATCGAAATTCATCTGAGCAAGCTGAATCTGTGTGTTCAGAAGAAATCCGTACAGTCTCTCTCTATGCTTTGGCCATCCACATAGTCTGTCTGTAAAAACATCACCCTTACATTCGTTCATTCCAAAAATCGTTTGCAGTTATTAAAGCTTTTATTATTATTATTACGGTTTGGCCATCTTGTTCTTCCCCCTATTTTCTCTAATTACTGCTTAACATAATTTATTTTCTCGTCTCTTCGTGTTAACTACAATTATACCATCTATCGACTGTACAACAACCTGTTCAAAATTTCAAAAACTTATGTATTTAGTCTACACTTTAGCTACTGTTTTGATTACTTTGATTAGGATCCCCTTGATACTTTTAGATTGCTTGATAAAACTGTACTGGCTGCCTATTGACCTTTACGTCATTTGTAATGAATCACTCGTTTTCCGATATAGAGTTCATACGCATATATACATATACATACATACATATATTTGACACGTAAGTGCCAGTTTATTTAGGAATTAATTAATTAATGTCAGCATCCAATTATCAATTACTCTGTCTACAAAATCCAGTTTACTTTCAAGGCTTTCAT